TGGGATGACAGGCGTGAGCCGCCGCGCCCAGCCTCTACCTGGTATTCTTAACGTCTTACAAAATCGTAGGCAAAGAGAAAATTTGTTCTCCAGCTGCAGAGCCAGCTTTGGGCTGCCTGGCCCTGGGTCTCAGTGCTAGAGAACCTGCCCCCCTCTCTCTCTCTCCGTGCTCAGATTTTCCGCATCCGACTTTATAATAAAACTCACCTCGAAATTGACGTGGCCATTTGGCAGGCGGTTGGCACAGCCCTCATTTAGGAAATAAATATCTTTGATTAGGAGACTGAAGAACGGTATCACAATCTAGAAGAAACAAAAGACCCTGGTTGGTTTGGACAGAGGAACGCTTAGCCTCTCATCAAACGACCCAAGAGATGAAGGGACAACATTAACTTGGGATTACATGAAAACCACGAGGAATTAAGGCACTGTTTTTTGGGATTTTTTTATTTTTTTTTACAGGGCAGCATTTTCCTCCCTTACAGAAGTTTAAAACGCAAATGCTACCCTGTTTCCCTGAAAATAAGACAGGGTCTTCTATTTATTTTTCCTCCAGAAGACACCCTACAGCTTATTTTCAGGGGATGTGTTTTTGTTTTTTTAAGCACGGTGCAACCATCTCTCATTGATTCAAATAGAGTGAGGTCGTCTTCTTCTGGAACATCATCCTCACTCTCCAGACCCCGAATCCCATCCTGAATGTCTTGCAACTCTGTTTCCTTTGGAGCCACCGGCCCCGATCTCTCCTGTGGAGCACTAGAGCTCTCACGGGGCGGATGAGAAGGGCTGCTCGTGTTCTTTCCTGCTCCGCGATGACATGCATGGGTTGTGCAGATGCGCTGCGCAGCCACGCCCCTCACTAGGGCTGATTTTCATAGCCACGCCCATCACTGGGGGCTGATTTGCATAGCCACGCCCATCTCTGGGGCTGATTTTCATAGCCACGCCCATCGCCAGGGGTGATTTTCATAGCCACGCCCACCACCAGGGATGATTTTCATAGCCACGCCCATCACCAGGGCTGATTTTTGTAGCCACGCCCATCACTAGGGCTGATTTGCATAGCCACGCCCATCTCTGGGGCTGATTTTCGGGGTGGGGCTTCTATTGCCCACATGCTTAGACATCCTGCTGGGGCTTGTTTTATGGGGAGGGCTTATTTTCAGGGGAAACATGGTATCAATAACCAAACCACAGCAAGGTCAAGTGCTTTTGGGAAGTGGATAGCTTAGTGATTTTTCCTACCATTTGTTTCTGTTTTATCTCAATGCAGTAGTAGCATGCAATAAAACCTGAACAGTCTAGCTATAGGGAAAGAGGAAAATACATAAAAGAACTGCTTTTCATTTCGCAACCCCTTAAGCAAAATGTTAATGGAATACCTATCACGGTAGAGTCCGTGATTGTAAGGCGTGTGACCCAGCTCCCGGCTAGACTCCTAGTGTTGCCGTATCGTTTAGATGTCTGCATTTCAGAGGAACTTTTTTCAGATGAACATTTTATTTTTGCCTTGAAGACATT